TTTTTACATTTTTTAATATACATTAATAATTAAAAAATACTCTTAATCAATGCAAAATCTTTAATTAGATTTTTCAATTCCAGTATTGTTGACTTGTTTTTAACCGAATTAAAGAGAAATTTATTTCAATCTATACTTAAATGGGCTCAAGATTACTTAATAATTTAATAAGAAAAAAAAGAAAAGAAAATATATTGAAGATAAAGACAAAAGCAACTGGAAAACTTAGTCATGAATCTGAGGTACACTTGTGCTATTATAATACACGATGGTCCTAGCATGAAAGTTAAGTAGGCTACTATAAGAAAGACACAACGTAGATATACACTAACAGAATGCATTCATACAGTAATGGTCTAGAAAAGAAAGGAGAAAATGTCCAGTAGTAAAAGAACAATGGAGTCATGGAGAAGTGGGGTCGTGATTGAGTCCACTCAAGGGTGCAAAAGTTGGGAGTATTATTGGAGATAATAAAGTGCTGTCTTAATCGACCTTGGAGGTAAGAAAGTGCATTATTGTGTCTTGGGTAAGATATTCCAGGAGCATCAAATGATGTTCTTTGATGATATAAGTAGGATTGGTACTTTTTGTTTGGATTTGGACAACTTTCCTCAATTATTTTGAATTGGTTGTCTCAGTCAAAAAGAAATGTTAATAGAATTAGTTGTCTAAGAATGGTGATTGTTCCTAATCTAGGACTAGACACTAGTGAACGATAATTATCCGCATTATTTTGGAGATTGCTGGTGCTAAAACATTCAAAAAAGAGAGATGATGAGAAAGATAGTTTGCAAGGTCCATTAACGTTTGTCGGTAACAACTTTACTAACTATCGTTGTCCTATTTTTTTCTTGAATATAACTAAGAAGCAAAGCAAGGCTTAAGGTTTACTTATCCATCGTTGGTAACATTTGGGGTGGTTGAGATATCTCGCAAGTGCTCCACCATCGACGTTTTCCTTAATCTATTTACTTTTGTTGATACAACATTTGTGGTGGTTGATGATTCATCATGTTTCAGGAGTTGGTAACAAATTAGCCAATTAATTTGTGTGGCCCTACCATTACCGAATTTTTTAAAAGAAAAAAAAAATTAAGATTCTATTCAACGTTTAATTATGCACTAAAGAATCAAGTTTAAGGCATTACAGTATTGTCTATATTCTATTCATTTGAATTGGATATA